GTAAACTGACACTGCCTCCATGTGATAGTACTTTCACAGCCCCATTCATATACAACCTACAGGTGTAACAACACTTCATTGGCTGCACTCCGGATTGCTGGAAGATGATTGGCTGGTTTCACAAGTACCGCCATGTGATTGGCTACAGTGTTAAATGTGGTACTAATTAACCCTTGATGTGGCTACCATGCAAGTAATGGACATTGACAGTTGGAGTGCAAGTACATTACAATCATTAGTAGGTGCTGAGGGGTGAACACTCATGTTACTCTGAGCCAGATACCATGCTGGGTAGCCTTGCTCACGGCTGTACTGAATGGTGAGTCCATTGGTGTATAGGGCCGCCTCCGTTGGTCTAGTGGTAGAGTGTCCGCCAGGAGAGCAGAAGGTCCGGGGTTCGATCCCCGGCTGTGTCATACACACATACACGTACATGCACGTCGCTGTATAAGTGCAATAATCTTGGACGCGACGTTAAACCCCATTTCACCTCACGAATTGGTGTATAATAATTATAGCCTTACATAGGCAAGTCTAAAGAAGCCATTCTCTTATAGGGACAACTTGTTCTTATTATTTATGTAATCAAGAAATGATGATTTAAACTATTAATTATTGCCTTAGAGTGAGTGAGTGAGTATTGTTTTACGCCGCTTTTAGTAATATTCCAGCAATATCATGGCGGGGGAGACCAGAAATGGGCTTCACACATTGCACCCATGTCGAACCCGGGTCTTCGGCGTGACGAGCGAACGCTTTAACCACTACGCTACCCGACCGCCCCTTATTGCCTTAGAGACTTGTACAAGTCTACGCGCTGAGTTGCCTTGTCATATAGTCCTCACCTTCCCAGCTCCTGAAATTAAGAGACAAGAGAGTTCCTTTATTATTTTTAGTCAACCTTATCCATCAATATATTTCAAGGTTTGTTTGTTGTTCAATACTGCACTCAGCAATATTTCATCTATATGAAGGCGCTCGGTGAATAATTCAATCTGGAACAGACAATCCAGTGATTGACATCATGAGCATCTGTCCACTATTGGGATATGATGACCTACATCAGCCAAGTCGGCAAGCCTGACCACCCGATCCCCTAAGTCGCCTCGGAAAGCATGGATAGCTAAAGACCTATTCTACCCCAGATCTTCACAGGTCATATTTCAAGGACTATGAGTGGAAAGGTGTGGACATGTTTGAGAAAGTATTGCATTTCTTCATATCTTATTTCATATTTTAAAGAGCAGATGACTAGTTTTGTCTACTCTTGGGCAGAAAGCTCGTTCCTTAGTACCTCTTGTTTGTGACTCTATGAGTTCTTTAAGGTGTTAGGTGTGGTAGGGTAGCGATCTAATTTCACCAAGTCACAGTTTTAATTTTTGGAGGTCCAACGTATGAAAAAGAGAAACCCAGGCTGGAGACATGTTGGGGATCTGGTGGTCAGGCTCTGTTGATGCATTCATTGTATCCCAATTGCATAGATAGATGCTCATGATGTCAATCACTGGATTGTCTGGTCCAGTTTATTGACAGACTGTGGTCGTATAGCTGGAATATTCCTGAGCGTGACATTATACAACAGAACAGATCTCTGAATTACTGTGTAAAGTCAACATTCAAAATCTAAAAAATTCACACACACTTACCATACTAAACAGTGAAATCTACATTACTACACTCTGATGTCAGTTTGAACCTCTCCGGATTCATGATTCAATTAGGATATAAATTTTTAATCGCCATTATTTGTTTGCTGCCTGGAAGATATGTAGCTGTGACTCATAGATTGCTAGTAATGTCTGTATATCCGTTCATCCAGAAAATTGACACCTATTCCCCTTTTGTGAAGCGACAACCTAACTACAGCTATAAAACATTGTCCATACAACTAGAACTGACCCTTGCAATAAATGGCTGACCCATGAAAGTGACCACACTCACGCCTGAGTGGTTTGCCATACAGACTTGGCAACCACAACTGCATTTCCCGCATGTTAATGTCTTTTATGTGTAGGCTACCATAGACATCATGCATGGAAATATGAAACTAATCTGGCGACTGTTAAGCGAGTAATATAAATGCATCCCCTCCCTTGTATGTCATCCTCTTCCATGTCATCGTAGGCCTTGAAAAACTCTTCACTTTCATCTGAATCCTGAAATATATTTATCATCAGCATGGGACGGAGAGGATATGTTTTATCGATACGTATAAAATTAACCTGTGGAGATCCTGGCCAGACCAATTTGAAATAAACTGGTTTCTAATCTGCCTCGTTCCTTGGTGGCCATTAATGCTCTACTGGTCTTGTCTTGCTGAAAGTTGAACTTTTACAATTTGTTTTGAGGAAGCAGTTGAGGGAGTTATTTAGTTCTATCCCAGTATATATACTTTCTGTAGGAGGAGACTCCAGTGAAACATGTGTTGTAGTACTTGGAAAGTTACAGCTTTGGTGAAACCCACAAGCATGGGAATGGTACAGGCAGAATCATGGTCAGGCTGAATTTGGGATTCGAACCAACCATCAACAAATCCTGACATGACAAAGGGACATAACTCTGTACTGCAAATGTCTGCCTCAGACACCAGGGCCACCAGTGCCCTCAGGATACAGTTGAAGGTCATGCATTTCTATTGGGTCACTCAAGAACATACAGATATTTGAGATACATTCTCTGTGGGAAAATAACTATTTTATAGATTCTTTAGATCTGTTGATAAAGAAAAGCCATTTGCACAAATATGTTTTTCATCATGGCCATTTATTCTAAGACTGATTGAGGTTACTTCCAAGTCGTGTTTCAAAAGAATTCAATGGACATTGTTGGTGGGGATCGTGAGATATAACTGATTCGATGTGGATAAAGCAGGCAATTAGTTCATTACCTCCGCCAGATCTATAAACGATTAAGCTGATGGGATGGGGTCTGATGGTCAGACATCTTTCACGAGTTGTTACCAGTGTATGACTGTATGTTGAGGGGGTGCAGGTGCTGTTGTGTATTGCGGTTCAATCCATTGTGCAGAGTTGTGTCGGTATCTGCTGCTGCTGGGTTCAAATCCCAGATTCAACCAAATAAGATTGTTGGTTTGTAAGAGCTGACGGAATCAGGTGGTCAGACTCCGTAACTTGGTTGATGCAGGACTTCATTTCCCAATTACGTAGATCAATGTTCTTGATGTTAATCACTCTATTGACTGGTCCTGACTCAATTATTTACAGACCGTGGTCACATAGCAGGAATATTACTGAGTGCCGCATTAAACACCAAACAAACAAACGAACATGTGCTACTTCAAGTTTACATAGATAGCTACTGCTATATGGTGGATCATGTAGAGCAAGTTTGTTCCCTCTGTTTCCATGTTGTATATACACGTGTTATAGGTGTCGCATTTGATGGGGACCGCCAGTGTTACCTATCAAGGAGCGTCATACATGCACCAGACTTAATTGTGTTGCTGGGATGACTATTGATTTCTGAGTCTATAGCCTGATACTGGGATAGACAGTGTGTCTTTGAACCTGCTCCAACAGTCTTAACACAAGTCTGTCATCCCATACTTTAACACAGACTAAGCAACATCTGTAACGAAAGATAGCATCATATACAGCGCTGGTCATATCCCATACTTTAATACAAGCTGAGCTACATCTGTAACAAAACATAGCGATGTACAGAGTGCTGATTATGGGTCTGTTTACATCCTGATAGCTTCCTGATCTATAAAGTTATTTTTGTCCCCAAAAATATTTTAAAAATACAACAATTGCAGGAAGTATTGTGATTGGAAGGGCCAAAGTACATATCCGTATCCGCTGTTATTCTACACAAATGTCTAAGGAAGGACATGAGAAAAAAAGAGGTTAATTTCCAAAACTATTTTGAGATAAAAGTCACAAAAATATCAATAAAATATTAACATAAGGGATATTTCAATGAAAGATATCTTTCCCACTTTTGGAGGCAGGCTCATCAGTAAAACAGGAAAATAATTGGTGTGACCTCACATATTCCACTTGAAGTTCAGAGCTTATTCATTAGGACATAATAAATTAATTATTAGATATTCATAGGTGAGATAAGGTATGGATTTCAACTTCTTTACTTTGAGGAACACAAGGTTTTGGAGTATATATTTACTCCTTCATCAGGTGAATTCATACATTTCTAACCTTTGTGTATCACTTCTAAATGCCATTCAAAGACGACATTTACGTCTCATCATTTTAATGTAAAAAGGACAAGAATCTCTTTGCTTGTTCCCTTCTTTCTTTCAATTGAAATACATTGTATACATAGTCCTACTAAGACATTCATGCTTGAAGTAAATCACATATATCGACCCCCACTTGGTACAATGTGTGAAGCTGTTGCTAGTGTGCCCCGCCATCATATTGCTGGAATATTGTGAGAGCAGTGTAAAACCATACTCAGTCACTACACATATCCACAGCTGTTGTACCCAGATGCATTAAACCGTTAGAATGCCTCCCACCTCACAATATTTCTACAATTAGATGAAAATCTTACAATTAATTTATTGTGGCCTTGCAATGATATATAAATAGCATCCTGCGTGTAAAAAAGTGTTTAAGGTTATGCAGGTTTGTGTGACTGAGATATAGTATGACAGAGTAAACAGTGGGGAAGTACCTACAAGGCTGCACTGCGTTCCCTAATGTCGTGGGAGAGTTCTCACACTATTGTACACAAGGTTTTTGTCCCTTAATTTCCTTGTCGAGTTGTCATGAGGTCATAAGACTTCTCACTGAAGTAAACATTTTGAAAAAGTTGTCACATTACTCCATAATGGCATAGCTCCACTTCCCCCAACCTACATTAAACATGTTTGTCAATAGGTAACATATTTCATACTCTCTGATCAATGAGGCCATCAGCTGAGTATTTCACGTATATTTCAAATCAATAGCGATAGGGACGTGTGCTTCACACATGACAACACTGTGAGGGATAGGAAATCACTCAAATGTGACCGAAACCTCAGAGGTGGGACAGCCAAGCAGTAGTGAGACCTATCGTGGGTTGTTAGGACATATTATAGCACATCCGCGATCAGCTAGTGTTTACAGGGAGTTAATAGTCAGTTATACACTGCCTGGTACTTGGATGATCAGCGGCGAGCTTCATGCGAGGACAGGACATCGTATATAGGCCATGGATACCCTTGCAACTTGTGAGTGTTATTTGGCTAAAGTTTACATTTGTGGTGCTTGTAATAGCCCAATAAACAGGTCAATGTAATGGATGTAAGTTGTCGAGATCTGGATAGCGTTTATCTTGAATTGGATATCATCACCAAGGCTAGACCCAGTTGGCCGTTGGTTGCACTGTATAGGTTGTACAGTGTATAAAGCTGCAGTAGCAGTTTTTTAAGGTCAGTTGGAAGTAATTGGTGTCTGTCAGTTTCAAATCAGTGGTCTGAGACGCAGACGATTGCATATGGCTGTGCAGGGGATTGTAAGGTGTTGTATCAGTGAGTTGAGAGTTCAACCCTGACGATGGCAACACATGCTGGGCTATGTGAGGTGTAGAAATGGTAGGGCTGTGTAGTGTAGAGCTATATAGTACTTTGTTTCTATTTCGTATGTCGTGTCCCTGAATTGTGTGTTGTGTATTTATATCTACAGCTGTTTAAGTTTCCAGGATTGATAGTTTTAACAGCAGTTTCATTTTATTTGTTCTTGGGCCTGGTCCAAACTTTTGAACACGTTGGTAACTTTTGTCTTGTACACCGGTCCTCACGTATCACTCCGAGTCTGGGGATACATGTATGACCATGTTCATTGTCATCCCTTGAAATTTATTTGTCGGTGCATGTTGTTTTTAAAAAAATATTCAGATCTTTTACAAATTACCTATGACATTTAACAATTTAATATCCATAGTCATTTCAGTCATAATTGTATGGATTTTTTTTCTCAATTGTAAATGCTAGAGTAAGGTTTTTTACTAAATATTATTTCCGCTTGTGCACTAGATTTAATACACTCTTATCTATTTCACAGTGAAAAAAAATTTTAAACAGGAAACGTGTGATAGGCCAGCCACATGTATCCCCAAGGTGCTTTAGATTGAGTTATGTTATTGGGACTAATTGGAGAAAATCCTAGGTGTGCGTGGCAAGACTATAATAAACTATCTGTCTGTCTGGTATGATGTGTAGTTTGTAAGGGTCCTCATTGCAGTGATTTAGTTTTTTCTTGGGGTGTTATGGGTTAACCACCATGTGATAACATGTGCACCAGCTTATAGGTTAATGGGACTAGTTATCAATGTATTTATTTATAGACAGAAAATTAAGTCTGGTGTTTACATTTCAGACCAAGGCCACTCTCACTTCAGTGTTCAAGCAGTTATCAGTTTATATGATGTACTTGGAGTTTGGAAAGATTTCAGAATGATTGGGTTATTTATATCTAAGTAAATAGTAATTTATACAAGAATCTAATAATTCTACTTTTCTTATTCATATTTGAATTTTGAGTTTTGAAAGAGTTCAGAATGATGAAGTTTTTTCCTGTTGTAAGTAGTTGACAGGTAAATAGTACATTATATCAACAAGTATCTTAAAATTCTAATTCTTTTTATTTATATATAAATTTGAATGAAAGATTTAATTCTCTTGTCTATTTGGAGGTTATCAATCCCAAGTAAACAGAGGTTTTATTTCAAGGAAGAGTATCTTCATCATAAATTGATAAGGTTTCTACTTCCTAAGTCACAGCTTTGTAATCTTCCTAGAAGGCTGAATAGTTGATTGTTTTAGTACAAGATAGGAAACATGTCGGTATTTCAGCAACGCCACCACGACCAGATAACCACAAACACAAACCATCATTACTATTTCATCTGTTTTGAGGCAAATGAAAAAGATCCTTAAACATGGATAGGTGCACTTGCTTGTGCTCATATACTGAACAAAAAAGTTAGCGATCATGAATATTTGGGTATTTTTTTAATGAAATTATCTGTTCAGTCTTTCGACAAAATATATCCTGCAAAATATGCATGATGCATGTTCAGAGCCTTATTCAACAGTTAAACTGGATTTTAATTTTGTATGCATGGACAGGTCATGCAGTCTCATATATTTGTGTGACAATAGAATCAGCAGATGTATGTGCATAGAAGCAGCTGCGTCATGACGTCACATGTTACATACTAATAAGGAAATGCTTGGCGATATGAATCTGTCCTGTGTAAACTGAAGCAATCCGAGCACGTATGCATTGCTATGATGGGCTAGCTATCATTCACTTTGAGTATTGATAGTTTTCTTTCCAACGTTATTTTACTCGACTTCGGTCCGGGCTATTGCGCATTCTTTAGAATGATGAAGTTATTTATGTTTTAAGTAGTTGACAGGTAAATAATACTTTATAACAACAAAGATCTTAAAATTCTAATTCTTTTTATTTACATATAAATTTGAATGAAAGATTAAATTCTCTTCTGGTCTATTAATAGGTTGTTTATCCTGAGTAAACAAAGGTTTTATTTCAAGGAAGAGTATCTACAAACTGTTTCTGAACCTTTTTTAAACATAATTCAGCTGACAACTGTTTCAGGTGAATTCTAATTTACATCTGTCCATGTGAAGACCAAAGTGTGTCACATGTCACATTAGTTCTAAACAATACATGTCTAAGTACAATGAGCAAGACGTAGCACTTTTTATTCCCTGCTGTAGAGTTCGTGTCCACTTGATGCCTGCATTTGATTGGTAAATAATGATCTAAGAAGACATACAGGCATGTACCGGTAAGCTGAAAAAGCAACATTGGGTAATTATGCACAATGTCGTTATACTTTTGGATTTTTAAAGTTTGTCATGGCTCATTTATGCAAATACACAGCTTGTCTAGAGCTCTGGATTATGGATCATCCAATCACCGCCATGGACACAGTTTGAATATTCAGTACACCAGCCTAAATCAGCTGTTTAATTTAATCTAAGTAATTGGTTCAATTCAGAATTGTGAATCAGTTCAGTCTTGAATCATCAACAAGCTCCAGGATGTCCTTTTTGATGTAAGTGACCTATTTTGTGTTATTCTCTTGTTAACACCATTTAGGTAAGTAAATATCAAACTTATTATAAAAAAATCATTTGCATTATTCCTGGGTGGCTGGGTGTGTATTTTGACAGCTATTGAGTACTCTGTATATTCAAGAATGCTACCCCCGAGCTGTCAGCCCCAACCCCCACTCAATCGACACCCATGCTTCAGGAAACCTGTTGAATCTTCAAGGCATGTTCCAGCACTGTTAATCCCATTCAAAGCTTGATTCTCGGGGCTTGGGACACAGTTCCTGTCCCATTGGGGATTATAATGTCATGGTTGGTGGTCAGTGTTGATGTTTTCATGGCTTGTTGTATCAAGTATATACTATCCTGGGTTTACTTGCATGGATGATCTTGTATGATAGGTTTAGTTGGATGTTACACGAGTCTGTATAATGTCTAGTATAGGATAGCCTTAACTAAAGGCTGGACCTATTAGTGTCTGGTTGGGGTCATGTATTGTTAGTTCATGAATTAACTTGTTGAAATTCCGATTTAGGGATATATCTGTAGGTATTTGGAAGTAATTATTTTAAATCCTCTCGGACTTAAAGTCTCCATTCAAGACGCCATTGAACAATTGGTTCAGTCAGCATGTTTTTGTCATGAATCCCCATGGGGATTCTAGGGCAGAATAGGTCCCCGAAACCCCATGCTTGTTTCACCATGGGTATTCTAGGGCAGAATAGGTTCGTAGTACCCCATGCTTGTTTAACCGTGGGTATTCTAGGGCAGAATAGGTCCCTAGTACCCCATGCTTGTTTCACCGTGGGTATTCTAGGGGAGAATAGGTCCCCAGTACCCCATGCTTGTGTCCCCATGGGGATTCTAAGCTAGAATAGGTCCCCAGTATGCCTGTTTCACTGTGGGAATTAAAGGGGAGAATAGGCCCTCAGTGAAACAGGCAAGAGACACTGCATCACTTTGAGCTTTCCTCCCACATTAAGCTGACTTACCGTGATATAACTGGAATACTGCTAAAAGCGACGTTAAACCCAACTCACTCACTCACTCACTCACTCACTCACTCACTCATCCACTCACTCATCCACTCTCTTCACTCTCTCACTCACTGGAACCACAGCAGTTTATCATACTTTTTACAACCACTTCTAAACCAAATTGCCAATTTGCAAAGTAAATACACAGATTTGACTTTGATTAATAACAACCTATTTAAACATATTTTATTTGTATTTTTGATAATACATTTATGGCAAAATTTGCTTTTAGGAAATGAATATTTAATCGCATTATGACAATACAATTTTTATACTCATTTTGCTTCCTGCCTCTTGGCATATTGACCAAGAAAATCAATATGGCAAATATCCAACTGTTCTGGTCTAGTTAACCGATATCATGGAGCTTAATGAAAGCCAAACTCTCACAACTGGGATGAACTATTCTGTTTACAAGTGAATTATGGACATAACTAAATGATGACATTGTGATAAGTTGCGTTATAACTGTTAGGCCCGGAATTACTCTTCCTGAAAGTTTGAATTCAGATCCCATATTTCCTTAGAAGAGGCTGCACTGCCCTTTGTGAGAGATGGGATTCAAAGGTCTGTTCAGAGGGTATTTGTGACTCAGCAGTGTGGTACACGGGACGTAACTAAAATGAAATTTTTAAAATATAATTGTGTATGTAAAATTGTCCTTGATATAGGATATTTTTTCAGTAATTTAACTTTAAATCGTACCCTTTCATGACCTAGGACATGTTCTGTAGGTTTTTGTTCTGCATTTGTTGAGTGAATTCTGATATGTGCTTTTGAAATTTGAGTTAAGTAGAATTCAGGATTCGGGGGTGAGCAAATGAGATTCAGAGTGGGAAATTAGATGGTATTTGGGGAAACCTTCTTAAAACCTGTCATCGAGAATCTTCTGAAGTTTACTTAATCTAACGTGATGTTCCTGTAGACATCTTCAGCAGCTTCCAGAAGGACTCGGCACTGGGATGAGGCGAGTTGAATTAACATGTAAATTGGTAATAAATGCGACTTAAATTGACAGCTTTATTTGTACTTTCGTTTTCAAATAAAACCAATTTACTTCGACACAGCCAAGTCAAGATTGAGTCAACAAAGAAAGTAAGCAATAAATTGTAAATTGACTATTGTGGGAGTCAGTCAGGGATTTGCTGAGCTTTGTATGCAAGTCCATTGAGCGAGTTCCTGCCATTTCTGTTGCCTGAACTTCAAAACATGCACAAGTGTTCCACCTGTAGTTACCATGACACGTTATCTCGTCGTCAACCTTGACCTTTGTACAAGACTTGGTAGTTCTTGTAGCCACAAAGGTCGGGACGGGACTTATGAGGTCAAATGAAGACTTGTTGATGAAATAAAATGATTGTCTGGGCAGGATGAGGCGTTTGTGGCCATTGTGGTTGTTATAGGGAGTGTCTGATGTTTACAGCCTCTCCTATTGTGAAGGCCCTAGACCATGTGTCTAGTTTATGTAAACAGTGGATTTATAGTGTCTCTTTATTAAATAAAACATAATTTATTCAAATTTAACATTTCTTAGATGTTACTGTGCAAGATGAGTTCCTGTTTGTACTGCAGCTTCATGTTGTTGGGCCTCGTCAGTAATTACTTGTGATTTTAGAATTCATCTGCTCATGAAGATAAGGTGTTTCATCATTTTCAGCTTGGCGTATAATCCCTTGTTTAGTGTCTGCCTGTCAGGTCCCGTTGATCATAACTTGGGATCGCAATGTTAAAGCATCTGATGGATGTAGGATGAAATTTAAAGATGTATTTCTGAAATAAATTCAGCTGCAGGAAACGTCACATTTAAGCTGATTCAACCTCTTGTCTTGTCTCCAATTTATAAATTACACATTTATGAAAGAAATTTTATTACTTATTCTTTTGAAAAAAGGAAATGTCAAACTATCATCAACTCTTTTGTGGTATTTTATGATAGTTTCATGGAGTTCATGGTACATTAAGTTTTAAATAAGAACATAAAAACGAAAAGTGTGTCTTTCAAGCTGAAGGAGACCGCCTTCGTGGTCTAGTGGTAGAGCGTCCGCCCATACCAAAAGACGTTAAAAGATGGTACTTGTTGTTACCCTGTCTGGCGCTCGGCATTAAGGGGCTAAAACAAGGACTGGTCGGCTCGGAGTCAGTATACTGTGTCTGAGTGTGGTATTCATGTTAAAATGCGGCATGGTATCTCAGTGAGCTAGCACTATAAATCGGCATCAGTCCGTACTAGTACAAGCAGCCACACAAACACACACGTACATGGACGTTGCTATATAAGTGCAATAATCTTAGATGCGACGTTAAACCCCATTTCACCTCACCTCACCACCTCAAGCTGAAGGACATGTCGTTAATGTGACAATGGCTATGGAAGACCTGTGAGAGCTGTTTTTGATATGTTCTGTAGTTGTTGAAACAACTCCAACTTGAAAAACAATAATCCATTTGATAATCTAAGAGTTACATACAACTGCTTGTGTTCCAAAAATACTTCAGATGATTACTGTTTATGACCCACCAGGAGAAAAGGGATCTTATGGGTGCTAGGATACAATTGTGCCGTGACGTCATAAAGAACGACGTTTGAAGTCAACTTACTTCTAAAAAATCACCATTAGTTCTTAATGTAATAAAAAACATTTTAAAGCATTTCGGCATACATGTCTACTTTCAATTACTCACACATATATAAAAACTGAAATTATTACATAAACAGTCATAAGTCTTAAAATGGGACTTCGTTGAAAATGAGTCCAAATGTTTGATGCCATGCATCACTGAAATAAATATAAATTGAAGCTTGTGAATTGTATTTTTGTGGTCCTAAGATACTGTAGTTTTACAGTAAAATAAGAAATCAAAATGTGATTTTCAGCCATAAGGTCCCTTATCTCATGGTTGGTCACTATGAAAGGGCCACGCTGTGGGGACGCGGTATGGAATGAGACCCCAGCACACCATTGCTGGTTGTAAGTGCCGACTTAGTATGGAATGGAGGAATTCTGGGTTAGAATTGGTCCCCATGTTGGTCGTTTGAGGTGACGAAATTGATCAGGTGTCATGATTGAGGACTTGGTTAATGGCGTGTCAGCGCACCCCAACAACATTGATCGTTGCTCATAATATCAATCACTGGATTTGTTTGTCCCTACTTGATTATTTACAGGTTGCTGTCATACAGCTGGCATATTGTTGTGTGCAGCATTCACAGAAAGAACGAAATGATGATGTCAAATTCGAAAGTAGCTTCCGGTCACTTATTTATTTCAGGAGCTTTCTGTTGTTCGATAGGTTGACGTATTGAGTTTGATTGATAATTTGTACAATTATTGCCCCTAAAGATAAACATTTATTCATAATATAATTTTTAATCTGATTTTTGTGTAAAAAGCAATAAGCAGATACAGTGTGACAACATATCACTTCAGCTGCCTAATCGACATTGAGACTCCCTGAAATGGATATGTGCAAATATCAGAAAGTTACGTCAGATATCAGAAAGTTACGTCACTCAATCATGCTAGCTTATGGGTATTATTGTACGTGGCATTACTCGCTTTTCACTATTGACAAAGTTCCCACTTTGAGCTACCATACAGTGTCAGCAGGTTGGCAAAAGAAAGATTAAATTGTCACCTAAAAATATATCACCGAAAAAAGTCTTTGCACCTTGTGACCCTCATTCGACAGTAACAAGATAATTCAGCTCCTAAAATCATGTAGACACCACCAAGGACACATAACTCAGAGCCCAATGTGAAAGAGGAGAACTTGGACAATATACTTTGAATATCCTCTGTCATTCTTAATTCTTAGGCAAGGTGCACTGAGGTTTTCCAAAAATAAAATCTTGCTCCTATGTTCATGATTCCGCTTTTAAACTTGCTCCTGTGCCGTTTGGCATTTTCATGTCAAGTCCTCGTCAAGGAATGTATCAATAATTCAAGGTTGACATATCATATTTCCTCACTTGTGTTTCGACTTTCAAGTGCAGCCCTCTTTAAAATGATATATTTATGTCTGAGTCACAGGGTGATTTCTTCCTTGAGTTTGTATGGAAATAGATGTTTAAGGTTAAAATGCGATATTTTTTTCAAGTTAATAGATTATGAATCAGCTGCCTGGAATGTGTATGTATAAACGACTGTTGGGTTACACACATATTATAGCCCGTCTTTCTGTTTACAGAGTGTCATGGGTGAATGGAGAAGATTGAAAGATGAATAACGCAAGTCGATCTTAATGAGAACGTGCACCCTGGGCTTGTTACTTTTGCACCGACAAGTGAGCCTCCATTGAGACTGTATCATTGCCACAAAGGAGAAATGGCTATTGGGTACATCGGGTGATGTTTACCAACGTCACACTTCATTTGTGCTATAGTAACAGCGTCTCTTCAACTGTGGATATCTCCTACAGTTATAGCCTCACCTTTGTATAATTCTCGCCTACACCTTCAGGACTGGTTAGTACACTGAATCATTGACATCTGTGAAGTTTATCGTTAATACATTGGATGTCTGCCTGACAGATTTCTGCTTCGGTGAAGTTCTTGTAACAACATCCTATTACTACTGATGCCAATTACCTTTGCGTCTGCTCCAGTTAACGGCTGCTCCAGTTGACGTCTGCTACAGTTGACGTCTGCTACTTACCACTTCAACAAATTACAGCAGCCAGCTTCGACAGATACATTGATTTACCGTTGTTTATTGGATTTGGGGATGAAGTGGACCTCAATTGGATCGATTTAGTCAACCTTGTTCCAAACTCAACAAACAGACTACCACCTCCCTTAAAGCATTCTACACAGTTTGTGTCAATAAATAATGAATAGAATACTTCTATTTACATGAGGAAAGTTTGAATGTCAGCCTGTCTTGGTGGATTTTCACCAACTCATGTCTCAATTCATTTAGATTGGCTACATGGTTTGCTGAAAGGAACACCAAGTCATCTACCCAATGTAATTCTCGTGTGGAACCTGTTGCTTGTCTCGACACTATAAAAAACACTGTGTAATCTGACGTCTGCTGCTGTTTGAATTCCGTCTGCTATCCTGTGGAGGGAAGTGTGACTTAAAGTTATTTGAGGTGAGCCTGATAAAGTAATATCAGCTTCAGCTGTCTGCTGCCTTGCTTACACCATGCAAGGATGGGACGAGTTCGTGTACTGAAGTCATGATAATGGTTCAGATCAATATTGAAGCCAACTGCGACTAAAACTAAAGTCAACAGGACTTACATGAATTGACAGAGATATTGAATGTTCTTCCTACCAAGACTGACGTCTGCTTGGCTGACCCGAGCCCCCGATAAAACCATTACTAGCAATCAATATACATTGTTGGTCCAGTGAAGACATTATCAACAGCGACCTTAACTATTATGACTGGCATGCCCTGAACTGACATCAACTATAAAGTTGTCTGCCCTGCTCCAAGTGTCGTCTGCTCCCCGTGTCGTCTGCTACAAGTGATAGCCTTCTGCTACCTCCATAACAGAATGAATGAATACAGAAGAACTTGTAGAGAGTAAGAAGCCTACGATCAGGTTGTTGTTTATCTACATGTGGTCTATGCTCCCTGGCGTCTGCTCTGCCGCGTGGTCTGAATGACACACAGTTGGAAAGTATGCCAGTGTAATATGTGAGACATAGGCTCACCTAATGGCCAGCTTGACCCTCAGGGGGGCATCGTGGCAACAGTGTTTACCTGTCGAGATCGCTTTCATACCTCCCTCTGATATTCTCTGAGTTAGTCAACGTGTGTCACTTGTAAAAAAGGAAACAACATTTTTTGCCAGTTGCTCTGTGAGTCAGTTGGATTTACATTCTCATCGGAGGAGCTGCAGGTTCAGGTTAAGCTTATCATGTGAGAGGTTATAACGGGAGAGCAAATTGTGATATATACACTTCTACATATTCTGGACCTTGGATATTTGTCCTGCTTACAGTATTTCTTATGCAGTGGGAAACGGACCAGCTGAGAACAGTAACAATCAGGACATTCTGAATGTGCTATCAGTCGAAGGTCCACTAGATATCATTTATGGTGTTTATGTTTATGAATTGAGAGTATCAACTTCATGTTATTGGACATAAAGAGGGATTATGTTACAATCACAAGGTTAGTATTTGTGTCCGTAACGGTTTGGGATTGTTGTCATGAACTTCAAAGTTGAGACTTTCTACATTTTGTTCGCCGAATAATATGCAGGTGTTTCATCTGTGGGAACTGACAGATGTTTTCATTTCCATTTTGCTGAAACTTTGCTACCCTCGATGTAATTCCCATGCTTTTTGTCGCCACTGTACGCTACATTCACCATCCACCGACCAGACTTCTTTTGTTTTGAGTAGGGGCTGAATCGTTGATAAATATTTTGCACAGGTGGTTTTCACGGGATTATGGGATTATAGAAGGGATGTTGCAGATGCAGCAGTTTAGAATGTTGACAGGGAGAGCTGACAGTCACGCCAGTGTGGAACATGTTTACATTTTACTTTGTCAGAATCCACCTCAGCGTGAAAATTGTCCTAACATTTGAACAAGGGTATTGCCAGACTGTTCATTTGTAAATCTGTGTACAGTTGAACAATATGGGGAACAAAATTGGATCGTCGGGGGAAAAAGACCTCGACTCTCCGGAGCCGAGGGGACGAAGTTGGTCGTTTCACGGGATTGTGTCGCGCGCCCGAAAAGGATCCAAGAGTCCACATAGACAGAGAAGCTCTTCTCTTTCTGATACGAGTAAGAGTAAAAAGGGTGGTGGGAAGACCAATGAAATGTCACCCACTTCCCAGCGGGAAAGTTTTAAACAGTCACGGAATTCAGGTGAAATACCTTCGTCCGCTAGAAGGGAACTTTTCAAACAGTCAAGGAATTCTCGTGAAATTGCCCAGTCAGCTCAGCGTGAACTATTAAAACAGTTAGAACTTGCAGGTGACAAGAATGCACCAGTAGGATCGTTGAGAAAGGTAAGCCCTTTGCAGCAGCTTTCACAGGTAGCCGAGGCCGGATCGCATACCAAGCACTCGGTGGAGAGTGACATGAAAACAGAGGATGCAGGTATTGTGACTAGCGGGCATAATGACAGGGGAGCTAAAGACCTCCCCCACACTACAGATTCCGGGTACAGCACAGCATGCAGGAAACTTGTCAGTCACGACTCTGGTGACACTGGTGATACGTCTGCAGCTAAGTTCAGGGAGATCTCGCACTCCCTCTACAATGATAAGTTGCTTGAACTGTGTAAACGGCGAGGCTTAGCTAGTATGAACAGGGATCTGTCCATGTCGCAAAACAGCATGCTCATTACGATGTCAAGTCCGAATATTAAGAAGGCCAAATCACCTTCAGTTCATAGCCTAACTTCACATAAGTCTCATTATGTAAGCTCGGACGCATTGTCCGAGTTGGAACGCTCCATGGATCATGATCATGATGAGTTTGATGAAGAGTATGATATTCGTCCGAGGACGTACTCTGCAACAATTTTGGAATTAAGCAGCAGGAATAAAAGTCGTATTGCCATGGGTGCGACTAGTGCTAGGTTACGTCATTTTCAAAGAGAGGCTTCATTTGATGGTGCGATCTCTACTAGTCCACGTAAAGAGGAGATAGCACAGGCACAGAGAATACTTGTAGCTCGGGCATTAAAAACTGCAAGTCCTGTGAATGAAAATTCTCCAAATGACAAGAATATGTCACGAGAAAATGAGCACTCAGGAATTCATGAAAGAAGTCGAATATATGGGAGCCCAACTTCAGGAATGAACATGCCGCATAATTTCAGACATAAAGGCAATTTAAGTCCACTTCCAGAAATCCACGAAAATGGAACGTTAAGTTCAAGTGTACCAGTTCAATTTGGGTTTCCTGGAAACGTTGGTCCCCCGACTTCCTATTCCGCTACGACAGACGACATGGAGTACAATCGGGAACGGAGTAGCAGTCTTTCGGTGATGTCCCCAAGAACACGCAGGAGCGTTCCAGCTAAGCTGAGTTCCTCCTCAATGCAACAACTGGAGGAAGAGGGTATGCGTGCAAGGAGCCATAGTATATCGTCTTTGAGGGGCGGAATACGACCTCAGATTATAAGTGGTGCTTTGTTTTCACAAATTACTTCCCCTGAACGAGCGTGGAATTACAGTGTGTCCTCATTGGCGGAATTACCTGTTACTGTTCATTACGCAAGGATGCCTCCTCCACAAGGTAAGATTGGCGCTTCTTTGATTAAGTTTGAATATTGGTATATTCATTTTCAGATGTTGGTGGTCTTAATTGAAGTATTAAAAGTTGTCATGTCAGCATTTTTTAATTAAGACTATTTGAAATATTTTCAGGTGTTAGTTGTCCAAATCAATGTATAAACACGTGGAAAATGGACTGTCTGGTTAGTTAACATTTTTTTCAAATGATTAATGAAGTTATTTAATTATGTTTGGTAAACTTGTCACATTTAATTCACTGTATAGTCATAGTGGCTCGAATGAATGATTTGTACTTAAAACGTCATCTACAGAGAAAAATTAGTAACAGCAAATATGCATTTATCAGAACTATAATAGGTTCTTTTCAAAGAATGAATACATTAATTTATGTCAGTTTTCTGTACAATGAGAATGTTGAGTAAATATACCAACAACCACTTAATCGTTATAGCCTTATATCTCTGTGACTGTTTTAATTTCAAGTATTTTTAATAAAGTATATTCTCATGTATGTGTCAAACGTTTAAGATGACATTTGAACCAGAATTAATTTTGCACATGTTTAGTGGTGAAGATCACAAGATAAAGATACACTTGATCAATTGGTGTTACTGAAGCACAATTACCCAATTGTGTCTGTCAGTATCATTTAGAGACACAGAGGCATGTTTGTGAATAATACCTATGGCATGCTAAGGTGTAGAGTTGAGAACAGCCCTACAGTGTTACTTACACCTACAGTGTTACTTACATGATATACACACTAGGCCTTTGTGTGGGTGTTCAGTACAGTAATTACAGGTGAAAATACAGGTGAGACTGCATCACTGAGAGGTGATGAAGCATAGGGAGGATCATGCTGTTGCACCTCTCTTCTTTTTTCCAACAATGGAAGCCACAAGAAACCATTTAAGATCTTATTTTATAGTTCTGCAGAGAATTGTATTCTTAATTTATTTTTTTTTTCATCTGCTTGAGAAGGTGTTCATGTACAGTATCATAATCAGGTGATTACTAAATGTGCGAAATTAAAAAATTTAAATAAAATTTTGGATTATTTTGAGAACTTTGGTTTGTAATAATTTATTTCATTTAGGCGTGTTATACTTGAACTTATCTCCTGTTTTTTTTCATTATTGGCTTTTTCATTCCGACTAGACATCTGTTTCGGATTCTTCATCCTCTATGACTGTTTATGACAATCATGAATCATAACCCGGATCCATCTCAAGACAATCCCTGATATGTCTTCGTCTTCCATCACTTTTCCGTGTTTGTTTGGTCATCATCCACTAATAATAACTCCGACCACGTTTGTTCCTAAGTTTAGAAACACCAACCCAACAGCGGTTAAGGACCACCGATTCTTTCATATCACTGTCCCCGGATCCATCTCAAGACAATCCCTGATACATCTTCTGTCACTGTTTCGTTCTTATTTAGTCGTCATCCACTTATACTAACCCCAGCCATGTTTGTTCTTAGAAAAAACAAAAGTGTGTTACCTTGTTTTAAGTTTAGAAACACCAACTCAACAGAGGTTAAAAGCAACCGATTCTTTCATATCACTATATAATTGGACATGGCGTGACTGATTGACATTATTAGTATGAAGGAATCAGTTGGTTCTTTAGAGCAGTAATGAAACATTCCTGTGGTTGTGAGTAGTTGTTAGGTAGGTAATAGAGTAGACATAAAACACAGCAATTAGGTGGTGGGCCGGAGCCATTGAAAAGTATTCACCTCCCATATATTGGGATATGGGATAAGATTAGCTGTTTGTAAATACAGTAAATGTCCTATTCAGTATTAAGACGTGATATCAATATTTTCCTTGGGGTTAAGTATTACAAAACACAGACTTTGTTCTTGGTAAATTTTGTCCAGGTAGGCTGCTCCCTCGTGAGGTCGAGAAGTGGAAAGGTATTTGGGTGTTCTTGTTTTTACATTTGTATGCCAGTAATCAAATGGGAATTGTAAGCATGTACCACATATTTGTCATATTTGACAAGTCTTCCATATCTTAATTCAGGTGTAATGGCCCATTAAGGTTGCAGTCAGAGTTTAAAATAGCTGTCCCGGAATTCGGGCCTGATAATTCAGAACCAAGCAAGATGATTCAAATTCACAAGATAAGATTTCATTGAAACTGTGTCTTGTTACCGTACTACTTCTAACAACCGTTAGTATTCCTTTTTGTTCTGAAGTATTGATGTCATTATTGCTAGTTTGGGGCACAGGTGGCCCAGTTATCTATGGCACCACAATTCAATGTGCAGAGTTTTGTCCCTTAGGTGTGTCAGGAAACTACGATCATGGGTTCGAATCCTAGATTCCCTGATTATGTAAGCATTAAGTTCTAATCATTATTTGTTGCTTAAGCTAAGAGTTACGCTATGACTGGAAGCAATCGAGAATTTATTTTGTTAGGCACAGTTACCTTTTTGGACAGATGGTGTGAGGCCATTGTTTAATGGGTAGACATTGTGTATGTGTTTATTTGTGGATCTATGGTATTAACGGACCAGGATATGTGATGACACAAAGTGACCCAAATTTAAATTTGCATAAACCAACATGAACGTTGTTGACATCTCCAGTGGGTGTTGCCATTGTTCAGTGAATAACACCAGGTCCTGCTTCTCACACCTGTAAGGTTCCGGTACCTAAGTATTTATAACTCTAATATATTACTGCTGTGAAGATGATGGTAATACAATAACATTTGCATATCTTAGTTCAATCCATATCCAAAAGTAAGGGAAGGTAGATGGGTTTGTTTTGTTTAATGTTTGTTTTTGTTTTTAAATTTTTTATATTTTTTTGTTGGTGTGTGGCTTATATTTTCTTTGCAGTACAAGCCTGCTTTCAAATGAAAATAATGACTGGTTGATCTATAGTGAACTGGTATGTAATAATGACAATACTTGGTAGGTGGTAAATATAAGTCACTGACGCCAGAAAATTTTATTGATTATCTGACAAAACAGATTCCATTGGGAGTAAAAGGCAAAATAGCGGTGAAAATTATTTGAAAGGATAACTGAAAATCAGTGATGACTGCAGGTTTTTGCGGAAAGGGTGCAACTCGGGGGAAAAAAAGTTCAGACTTGCGTGAGCCCAGAAACCATAAACAGACATATTTTTCTTTGGCCTTGGTTTCCAGATGACTAAATGACTAACCTTTCAGCTATTTCAGTAAAGTACCTATATTTACCAAATGGTATGTGTCTGTGGTCTGTTAGATTCTTATGATGGTATATATAATTAGCTACGGTAAAAGCACTTTCATGGCAACTGTTCACATTCTGCTTTGTCATTACAATCTGTTCGGTTATGTTATTGACTACCACAGCTATATTACGACCTGAAATCATTGCTTTTAAATTGAATCTGGAATAATTGGATTTTTCTTAATGATGTTTTTTATATATTTACATGTAATGACCAAATTAAATCTTGCCTGTGATTTCAAGTTTCTTGCTGCAGTCTACAAAGCTCAATGAAATATTGGTTCTATATGCTTGGAGTTTCAGATCCTTTCTCTATCAGTCATGATGACAGAGATTACAACCAATCTCAAGTTGAACAAAGTGTAATTGAATATTACTTGAAGTCGACCATCAGACGAGATGGTTTTATATGCTAAATATTCAAACAGAACTAATATTTTTTAACATTCACAAACTGTCTAAGTTGTATTTACTCTTGACTCTTTTGGACTGTTTGAAAGGATTATGAGATCAGCTGTTATGCAATATGTAAATATTGCATAATATGCTTCAGGTATTAAGAGCTCAGTAAGTCCATTCTTGTATTGGGGTGCAGAAATGGGGATTAATGTCCAGGTAGGAATCTTGGGAATGAAGGCGAGTGGGGGCAACTTGGGAGGCAATTATCTGTCATTCCAGATGGTGTTCCTTTGTACCTTATCACTCATACAGCCCTGGGGGTGGCGGGGTAGCCTAGTGGTTAAAGTGTTTGCTCTTCGTGCCGAAGGCCTGGGTTCGATTCCCCACTCGGGTACAATGTGTGAAGTCCATTTCTGGTGTCCCCTGCCGTGATATTGCTGTAATATTGCTAAATGCGGCGTAAAACCATACTCACTCGTACAGCCTTGAAACACAAATACCTGAAAATCTCAAGCAAATCTGCAATACTAGATTGGCAGGCTGGAAATGAAGAGATTTCCTGGTCTTCAGCAAACCATGCTTGTCATAAGAGGCGACTCTGCTTGTCATAAAAGGCGACTAATTGGATCGGGTGGTCAGGCTTGCTGAGTTGGATCATGCATATCATTGTTTCCCAATTGTGTAGATCGATGCTCATGATGTCAATCACTTGATTGACTTGTCCAGACTCAACTATTTACAAACAACAGTCTTACAGCTGGAATATTGATAAAGGTGGCACGAGACAGTTACAGCCAAACAGAAGAGTCACCATCCCCATTGTACCAAATATAATAAAAGTTATCAAATTGTTTTTAAACCTCCTCACAAATAATAAGTTTCTGACAGCCTTTCCTTCTCGACCATTGAATCACTGCTACTCTAGGTCGGGGTTGGGATCGAGATCGTGTTTAACTGATACACCTTATGCCTTTTTACAGGGCTTCAGATAACATGATGAAATCACACCTGCCATGATAATGAGGAAGAAGAGATGCTGCAATTTGCCATTACTGAGTGTTTAAACCGTAGGACATCTACAAGTTTAGGTATTTAATTGAGTGTGTTTGGCAAGACCAGGTGTGTATTCAAACAGGGACAAGATAAGAACAGGTGCAAAAATACAACAGGCGAACTCTCTGTGTGAGAAAACCAATGGCAAGCCTGTCTATGCAAACAGGGTGGCTGCATGATACATGCCCATGTGGCAGTGCAGGAAGGAGTCTCTCGAGGGATGGGGTGCTTGGTCTGGTTGTGTTCATGATACAGTGAATAAATTGAAAGTGATTACATGGCATTTGATTGGCTAATCAAGCCATTTTTTGTATGT